AATGTAGAACACGAGAAACTTTGCAATGTCACAATGCATATAGTGTAAATGTCCTTTTACATTTGACATTTGATGATGAGGCCATAAATAGATGAATCTGGCCTAAAACCGCCGTAATAGATAACTCATATTCGGAGTTGTATAGACCCCATGTGGTAAGCGAACATAAACGTAGAAGTTGACCAAGACCAATTAATTACAAGTACAACAAGTACAGGCTTAAGCAGGCATAAGCTTAACCTATTATTTTTGAACGAAATACAAGTAAATGGATATTTCACCACATAACCTGAGGTCATCAATGCTAATTAGCTAAGTTATGATAGAGATGGATAAGAGCAAACAATCAATAAACTTTACGATTCTATTTCGTAGCGTAGAATACCTCAAAACGAAGACAAATTGGTAAATTGCTGTTTATGTAACAGTTTCGCAACGCAATGATATTATTAGGACAATGCGGATGTAGTAATCTTAGAGTCAATTACAGACAATAAAGTCTAGAAGAGTGTATCGTAGCTTTACCGTTTATCATCGGATCTCATAGGAATTTTGAAAAATCCACCATCCATCACTATCCAGTTCGGCTAGCTGCTTCAGTTTAGGCGAACCGGTCAGAAATTCAACTCATAAATTTTTTGTCAATCTTTGACTGTCACATAGCATTTAATATTTAAAATATATTCCCATTTTCAAAAGACCTGTTAACTTAGTCTAAACGAAATTTGGTGACTACAAGTTTGTATTTGTATCTAGTAGTGGTTAAGCTTATTAACTTATTAAATTAAGATCCCTATTTTTGAGATTAAATAAAGTAGTAGGCATAAACCTATACCAGGATATGAACATATAATAAAAGAATCGAACTTCTAGTAGCTTTACGCTATTTGTTGATATGTGAATTAGCCAATTTACGTCAGTTTTTTTTTAGCAATAAGATTCAAGATAAGCACAGAGCAAGATTATTCTACAATATTAACTAATTAGCTGTACCTTTCTAATAGCTTAATTATTTTGTAAATATAGATATTGATAATTTTATTAGATACGGGTAATTACGAACGAGACAATTATAGTAATTACATTAAATAGTAACTAATAAATTAGAAAATAATTAAACATCTAAATATATATCTACTTAGAATTTTGAATTTTCCTACTCGTAAGTGATTCCAACTACATTCCAATCATCCAATTCATAACATATACCATTGTATTATACCATAATATTTTACTAGTTTTAAAAACAAATTAATATCTGTTGAAACGAATTTATCTCGACATTATTCTAACCTATCCCTCTGCATTTTATATACTAGCATGATCTCTCTTTAAAAGAAATTCCATTTTATACTACCAGGGGCGCATTATAGTCGTACAATGTACCACGTTATGCATGGACGAACCTTTTATGTGGGCTTTTTATTTCACCGAGTCATGAAACTCGAGCAAGTCAATACATCTGTTACTAGTTGGTTTTTTTTTTTAACTAAAACATGTATAAAAATGTGCACAAAACAATAAACATTATTCAAATCATTTACAAGAGAAAGACAAATGTGAACTGACATTGTCAGAGCCACGTTGTTCGTCAACACAAAGGCGGAATCTCGCCAAAGTTTCCAGGCGGCGGGTGTCAAAATTAATATATCCCTGCAAAAGGGACTCGGCACTGCAAAAGGGTTTAAGGGTTACTTTAATTAAGTCTATTAAGAATTTCTATCTAAACGCGCTTCGTTGTTTTGTTCTTACGAAAGATACGTATTACACACACCTATAAAAACCTTATCTTCTATAAAAATATATAATCTTCCTTCATATTATAATTTCATATCCATCAAAAAGAACGGAATTAAACTATGAATTCATATCATATTTTCATATGTGCACAACAATATAAAAAAAAATTATGTAAACAATATTAGGTACCAACTGTTCATAATTAAAAAAAAATGAACCTAATACCTATGCAAAGTTAAGGTGTTTGGTTGAAAAACTAAACTAGGCTTGGTTAATGTATGAGTCACGCATTGCGATCGTACCTATACAATGCGGAAATAATTTCATGCAAATACAACATACACGAAGAACAGGCGGTCGTTTGAATAACAGAAGAACACTCGTTAGTTTATATTTTTATGACCCCAAATATTAATTTGACTATTCAATAAGAGACCTATGGAAGTTAGACTGTGTAAGTATGCATTTATCCATAAAATTATAAGACATTTTATTAATGTGACTAATACTTTTGCGTGAGAGAATAAATAGTAAAAAATATAATCATGTTAAAAAAATAATCTTCAAAATATTACATTACAGAATATAATTACTATATATAGAACATTTTATTACTATTATTTTCCGTACTATGTGTATAGGAAATTATTAATGGAATAATTCATTTATGTCGCCGTATTTAATTTCAGTAACTCAAAAGACAAATTTGATAGCAACAGAAGATTGTTCCCATCAAATTCAGAACTGACATTTCTCTATCATTTGGTAATCATTGAGTAAATTATACAAATAGAATGCGAGATATCATTACGGTTTCGACCCCATTAATAATATTGACATAGTACTATTGTACTCATTTGTAAGTTATGTAAGATAATTACAATAAACCACATAAATTCCGCATGTTAGTTAAAGAAATCTTTCGGACTTACTAATACGAGTAGCAATGTAAGAGATGGTCTTGAACAATAGTAATGCTACATTACTATTGTTCAAGACCATCTCTTACTGCAAAATAATGAATTGATTGTGTTAGAAGATAGTTGTTTCAAGAGTCCTGTCACCATGTATGTATAGTAAGTAAAAGGTCATACAAATATAATTCCAGTATTCACTTTTGTAGTATCTGTCCGCTTTACATTTCATTCACTTTCTAAGTTTCACGTCTCTTTTGTCACATTAGAGAAAATAGATTTTGTGAAGTTAGTAGTTAAATTATATTTAATATAATTATAATGCTCCAAATAGTCCCAAACTACGCAGAATTTATATATATTTATTTTAAATACATACATACAAACCCGCCCAGATCAATCTGATTTATTAGACGGAAAGGGATAAATAGTAATGTGAACTAATAAGTTCTAATATGCACCATTGCAAGCAATGTTCCATATCATGTTGACCTCCACATGGTTCCCCCTGCAAACTATCGTAATAAGTTCTTGGTAAACCATTTGGGCTTACTGGCCTGATCCCCAATCATGATATCATCCACTGGTGCCCGTTCAGCGTAAACCATTAGGGCAAGCGTGTGCGCCATTACATTATCGTCCATTAAAAAATCAATTTATCGCAGTATTATCGCGACAGAGGGCTAAGTATATATACATGCATTAAAAAGTATCGAAATAAATGTACCATAAAAAATCCAAATATCAAAACATTATAAAACGATTCATTACAATAATGAGACAATCAAAATCAAATTCAAACTCTATACCTTACGCCTTGTCTCTCTATCTGTCTAATATATTTTTAAACAATTTAGCGATGGGTTCATTTTTTTAATTCAGCCGGTCTAACTTTGGTTGATATCATCGTAAAAAATAGGCCATCATTGTGATAAGATACACCACTACCTAAAGTCATTGAGATGACTAATTACAGAACAACAATAAAATGTTATTTACAACCTGACGAAAATTTACAAAGAGAGGACTAAATGCATTAATTTAAATAAATACAATATTACTTCTTGGAAATGTTTAATTTATGTTCTTATATATGTATAGTAAAAATAACTTAATAATAAAAAATGACTGAATGAATGAAACTGATAGTTATTAAATCCCGGGACCTGTAATATAGAATTGCAACATTTCTGTACTATTTAGGCATACTGGTATTTTAACGATAAAACAAAAAATCTATAGTTTATTATTAGTAATAAATGATGTTAGTTATTTATGTACGGAACTTTCAGTATACATGTACTATACATACACCTAAATAAGTAAATTAGTACTTTAAATAGAAGTTTACTTTAAATAGAATAACAGTTGAATTTCTTGTTAATTCTCAACTGTCACCAGTACCATTATATTAATGACTAGTTGTACCCACGACTTTGTCTGCGTGGAATTTAACTTTATTATTCTAAAATAAAAAAAAAGATCCCGTCAAAAAAGGTCCCGTCAAAAACAAAAATTGCAAAAAAACATATTTTGGTGTATGTACCGTATTTATATTCGTATGCATGTAGTAAAAAACGGTTATTTCAATATTACAAACAGACACTTCAATTTTATTTATATGTATATATAAATAAAATTGGAGAGAATATAAATAAAATTTATATAGATTAAATGCTTTGAATAAATTTATAAATTAAAATATTATGCCGTACGCAGACGCAAAGACCATGATCGATCTAGCGCATTTGGATTAAAGCCAAATGTAGTGTCCAGCGTAGTATGTCACACTGTATCGTTTTTGTAAACCATGTATGTCGAATGAGAAGATACAGACCAGTCTTGCAATTGTGGTTAGGTCCCAGGCAGATCGCGTCTTGCCACGTGGTTGCCCCCCATCTTTCCTTCTGCCTAATGACCCGTAACTCGTGGGTACAGCATTTTCTTCACGTTTGCGCCGTCCAGCGCCCCTCCGCAGTGATGAAAACCAATTTGAGACAGAGCCACGACGCTCATGTTCGGCCGTTCCCGGCCCGGCTTTGATAAACATTACTTCACAAGTGCCAAGGCACTCCACACATCACACTATAGGCACTGTCAACTTCCAATTCTAAACCGCGATTTTACTAATATTAAGAAAACTAAATATCACACGTTGCCTATTAGAAGCTCACAACAAAAATTAATTAAAGCCAAGAAACAAAGCAAATAAAATGGAAAATTGCGTGACTTCTCGTCGTATAAAACTAGTACTCAGTGAGACCGTAGTACTTTGCCAAATATGTGAAGCTAACAATATTAACAATTGGTATGCAAAGTGCACAAAAAGTTGCATCGATGACACACCTGATCATAGCCGTCGTCGTAGGTGTTCGCTGCGCGGGCGCAACGCACCAGCACCGGCCACCAGAGCGCACCGCAGAGTAGGCGAACATGCAAACACATCTCGCGCCATACACTTCCCGCTAAGGAACGCACTCGACTGAAGATAGACGCGGGGGCCAGCTGAGTTTGGCACCGTGACAATTGCATAAACGTATGTAAAATGCTTTATCTTTCTACGCGTCTGTGACAAGGCTCTTGACAAATATTATTTGCTATAAACATAGATACGAAAGATAGACCGATACAAAGTAATGCCTGATAAATTTATCTCCTTCAATTTCGAGTGTTTCTACTAATTGACATTTTAAGGAATAGGAAAAAACAAATTGATGTTTTATGGGTACAAACTGTAGCATTAAAACATGGACTTGTTATCAGAATGGTGGGCAGCATGCTGCGGAAACGACAAAGGAAATGTGATAAAACTATTGTATCGCGAACTTTGTCCGGTAATACACACCACCGACATCAAAACAAATAGCAGTGAGTCAACAAATTTTGATAAATAAATTATTATTCATTTTATTATATACTTAACAACCTACTTTGCTTTTTCTGGTATGAAACATTCTACAAATGGTAAATAATATTAAAAATAAAAACAATTGTAGGGTCAAATAGTCCAATTCAATTCAACACCAATCAAGCAATGATATGAAATTTTATGCAAGTTTTAGAAAGATTGTACGTCTATTCTCAAAACGGGACTACCGTTTGATGAATTAATGAAATTTCATTCATTGAAATTCCAGTACTATTGTAGTACATACAAACAAGTGATTAGTCACTAAATTGTTCATCATCATCTGCTTCTTCCTTATCCCATTAGTCACTAGATTGTTATAGGCAGATTTCTTATTCATTATAATAATATAGAATTTAGAAAGGGAAGAATCTGATACAATTCATTATAATAATATAGCAAAATTAAGAAAATTAACCAGAAATCATGTTTATAACAGGTGATAAATGTCAATAAATATATCATGTTTATATGTAATCACATTTATATAGTACCTACATACGTTGATAGGAATGATAATTATGCAGTCTGTTCTTTAGCTACCTATAATAAGATATGACAGGCAAGTATTGTAAATAAAATGAGAACTATTATAAATATATTGCAAATTCTTATTTATCAAACTTCAAAGTCATAAAATATTAATATAAAAACAAATGAATATAAAAGAACACATGGGTATAAATGTATTTTTTTTTTCAACAATAAATATTGAAGAAATTATAAAATACAAAAATTATAACATAACGGAATCAAAATCAATAAGGTACAATAACAAAATAAACCCCTGACGTCTGACGAGGAACGAAATCACAGCAATTTCCACTTATCCGCCTTATCACTGACGAACTTACGATTAAATGTCACACGAACGACGTTTCGATATATTATGAATGAAAACTGGTTTTTTGTACTGTAGTATTACACTTCACTAAAATATTTGTTGAACTTTCCAAACAGGCCAGGTTCATTACTGGCAAACGGCACAAACCGTAGCGCGATACGCAACACGTCAACACTGTGCGCTCTCTGACACTGACTGACTTACTACAGTATAGTACGTTGGTATGCATTGACGGCTTACGTCAGACCACTCGCGTATTGAATGAAACGAAATAGGGGTGCGGGAAATTTTGGACAGACGTAACAAAAGATTCGTAGAAATATTATTATAAAGACTTCTTTACCTAAAAAAAACTGTAGGTAAAAATACTTCTGAAATAATTATGAGTACAATATATAAAATTTATAAATATAATAATTACATTTTTCTTTACAAAAATAAAAGTTTTAATAAATTTATGTAGTCCTTAGATATATTATCAAAGTGAAAGCTTATTTGCCATAGTAGATTAGAATTAGTCATATATGAATCATACAAAAGGTATTTATAACTGTTTGAAATTTGAATACACTAATATTGAGAATGAAATTAGTAATAATGAAAAGATGTTTATTAAATTTCTATTTTTTTAAATAGATATAAGATGAATTAAAACAAAACTCTAAAATATTTTTAAGTAGTGTTTGTAGGTATTACAGTGTTTCAGATTTAGTTACTAATTTTGAAAATATGTAATTCAAGGTTATTTATGGACTACTTTGATTTAATTACAAAGTAGCCAAACCAAAAGTATATTTTGTATATTGTATCAATTGTCCAGTACAATCTCAGGTTAGTTTATGGGTAGATGGTACTGGGTGAATTGTCCAGATTTACTAATTTATTAATATTTATTACATTACTGAATGAATAGTGAAAATTCTATAATTTGTTAATACAATCTATACATATAAATAAAATTAGAGTGTCTGTTTGTAATATTGAAATAACAGTTTTTTATAACTGCATATTAATATGAATATGATACATACACCAAAATAACATTTATTATCATTTTTTTCTGTCTCTCTGTCGGTCTGTTTGTTCCGGCTAATCTCTGAAATGGTTGGTCCGATTTTGACGGGACTTTTTTTGACAGGTAGCTGATGTAATAAGGAGTAACTTAGGCTGCATTTATTTTAGAAAATTCTATTATTTTAATAAAAATAAAGTTAAATTCCAAGCGGATGAGGTCGCGGGAACAGCTAGTATCAAATAAAATTAAGTAAATGACTTCGCATTCATGGCCATAAATAAAACACATCATGTTTTATGTTTTTTTACTCTTCCACCATCCTTGTCACTTGTCACATTTGAAACTCCTCGCTCCAGTGTGACATCACATATTTTGCAACATAGTAAATACTTTATATTAATCATTAATAGTTTTAATTTTGTTTTCTATTTACTTAGACATATATATTAAATCTTAGAATGTGACATCATAAAGTTAAACCATCTCCCATTCCTGTTTGCTTTGGCTGTTGTTATTTAATAAATAGGGATGGGCTATTTCAACAACAACAGCTGGATTTTATCCAGCTAATTTGCATATAATAATAATATAAATAAAATAAGGCTATATATGTGTATCATACATAATACATTTCAAATGATGAATATTTTAGATATCTATTAAGTAATTTTTAGTAATACAAACTACTCCAGTTCCCCTATTGCAACTAATGTACCTTGAGATATTGACTTCCACACAGTTTCACAGGGTACACTGCCCTTACAAAAGATTAATGATTGATTCCTGGGGAATTTATGACAATGGGTTAACTAACCATACTAAGTTTCATCCCAATATCCATTTATGCGCTGACAATGTACAGCATTAGTGTAAGTGGAAGCACTATTCAATCATCATCTGATAATTAAAATAAGTATGGACGGTAGTTTCAAAGATAATCATAAATCATTTTTTACCCCACAATCTGATGAAAATTGTACTTCTCTTAATATTATTACAGTAATATTAAAATTAATTTACTTCTTGTGTATAATTATTGGTTACTCAATGCTCATCCAATGATTACTTTAAAATCAGTACATATATAATGTTACAAAAAAAAATACATTACTGATGTAATGCTTATATCAGAAATATAACAAATAAAAACTCTTGAGTAGTCCTGACTCATATGTCATTTATATTTTCTACTTGTAAAGGACAGCTGAGAAACAGTAATGACTGTAATAATCATTACTGTGTAAATTGCATTAGACATTTTTAATTAGAATTAAAAAATAAATTATTATGTGCCATATGATAGAAAACGAATTGCAGTATTTAATACAATATCACGCAAATCGTCACATACAAACAAACAGTTTCATTAAAACAAGGTAACAAGTGAATACATCATCAAATTTTGATTTAGCTTGCATACCTGTATTTCCAACAGCAATTCAGTTTTTCTTCGCCTTATATCGATCAAAGTTTTTTGCTGCTCTGGTGTCAACTCTGTAATTATTAACAATACTGATAAAATTTATTCAACACTTAATTTTAAAATCAAGCCATTGAGGTCATCTTAAGAAAACAACTTTATCGACATCATACGTCCAGACAAAAAGTGTATAATGACTTACCAGTGTGGGTGAAAGGGTCTCCATGATTACTTGCAGCATTATTTCCTCCAAGGGACAAATTTTCAAATTCACTTATCATTTCTTAAATATTCGTATAATAATATACAAAAGTTTACATGTTTGTTAACTGTTGACTGGCGGCCATATTTATTTACTATATTATTTTTTTAAGTCAGTGTTGCCAACTCCATAGGTTAAAAGTTATACAAATTTTCGTTTACATTAGATCAGTTACTGTCACTTTACAGTACTTTCCAGTGATCATTCTGATAGTTCAATTTCAAACGTTAGAAGTTTTGTTAAATATTGATTAATTTAAACTAAATAGTGTATGTTTAATATATAGAATTATATTCTGCATTAAATTAGGCTACAAAATCTTTATGATAATAGTCTTCATGTGGTAGCCTGAAGACTACAAGTAAAAATGAATAGAAAATACAGATAGATCTACCATATTCACATAGAAACAATTGTGCTCATCACGAGTAAGTTAAAATTTATTATATAAGCAACATATGTGGCGTTGATTACATTATATATGAAAATACTTGTTTTTTTTTTTATTTTTTTATATTAGTACCGCACAAGTACTATAAATATATATATAAATTCCTTATTGATCTCTGAAAATAACTGTAATATCCCTGTACTTTTTATTATAATATTGATAATGAATGCGTTTAAAAGTCTAGTTTGAATTTGAATTCATAAAAGTATAGTCGTAGATAATGATGCCAGGTACAATGTTTACCTTCCAAAGTTGGAGGATTCGGTGATGTTAAGAAAACATTTGGGGGTAATAAATGCTTGGGGAGATTTTTGTGGGAGTGACAGAGGAATGTATCTGGTTATTAATGAGAGTTTTTTTTACATAGTAATGTCAGAACTAAGAAAAACAATTACACAAGCCCACAAGGTAAAACACAGAAGACATGCGAAACCCACAGCGTAAAAAACGTTCATTAGGGTTTTAACCCACTAAAGTATACAGAACAGGATTTTTGAAGAATATAATTTTGTAAAATTGTACATTATTAGGAAACGGTCACGTTTATTGTTTAAATATATATATACATATTGCACTCGAAAAGAACTTACATAAAAGTTAAAAAAGGAGTTAATAATAATATATATACCTGCATTACATATATATATTGCTAATAGAGAGTTTCTTTATTAGGAATTTTTATTTCAAAAATCTACCATAGGGTATTCTGGATAAAATTTAGGGGGAAAGCAAGATGATTATCTGACAATACTGGTCACAGAGTACATTTGTGTAGAGCTAGTCATTAATGTGCATCAAGGTAGTGTGCTACTATGCCATGTTGAATTAGTCTTTTTGATCTGTGGTTGAATTGTCGATAACTCAAGGCCTTGCAGCCCGTAACATTAGGTATACTATTGAGCTTGAGCCCTGATTTGATCGAGTTGAGAAACGGAGAAAGAACTGAACACGCCCCCTGCTCTTCTGCCCTGTGTCCTTTTGACTTTTACAGTAAATTAAATGGCTACATTAGTTTTATAATATTCTTTGAATTACAATTTAAAAGTGACACTCGTAATTGATAATGACATATTTTTCATTGTGTTAATCAAGATAGTCGCAAATTTGGTTTTGACCGGTGTTATAAATTTACAAGAGAAATAATGAATGACAATGGTTGCATACACCTGAGTAATTTTAAGGCCGCCAAAGGAACCCATCCATATAAAATTGTACATGCATTCTTTGTGTCATGCACATCTTTCGATGCCAGGAGGTATAAGGTATGTTGCGCAAAATCGTTACATTTTGATGCTGCAGCGCTAGTGTGTAAAATGCAATGGAGGCTACTTATACCTATTCGTCTTTGTTTTGATCGACGAGAAAGTACATAGTAATATTTCGGGGAATGGCTTTGATTATCAGTATTTTATTTCTTGTGGTCAGCTGTCTTATTAGTCAGCTGATTAGTGATCTTTGACCTCGCAACAGCTGTTCGCCGCCAGGTTTTAAGCGCAGCAACTTATTGATTTTGCCCCTTTGTCTACTATAGAAGTTTAGTGAACTATATATATATATATATGTAAAATTATAAATAGATGTATGAACATAGCTTACATAAGCTTTGTTCCATAATTTCATAGTCAAACAGTTGGGTAGATGCTATTATTTTTTTACTTATATTTAATGAACCAACTGTAAATCTCAAAGTAGGAACTATTTTTTGTAATTGATATGCAGGGTTGACAACCTTTTAATTTAATGGGATTAAATAAAAATCTAATCAAATTTCATATACTACCTTAATTTCGCTACCTAACCAAAAACTATCCATTTTCTTATTTAAAAATGACATACAAACTTGTATGAGAAAAAATTTAACTTCATACTTAAGGACAAATATCTCATGCTTGTACAAAAATCTTTTGGCATCCCTGTTGTTATGTAGGTATGTTAAATAACAGCATATGTCCACAGGCTACAGCTTGTTTGTGCTTCGAATGTGGCCAATCAGGCCCTCGTATGCACTCCTGCCTCCACTGCATCTACTTTGCCTGTTATGCTGGACACATCCAGGACCATTCCAAGTCTAAAAAACATTTTCTGTATGTTGATCTGAGTTATGGAAATGTTTTCTGTGCCCAATGTCAAGATTATATTTATGATAGAGAATTGACTGAAATTGCCATGGACCACAAGCTAAAGGAAGCTAAGTAAGTTAATTATAAAGGTGTTTTATAAAACTATTTGCAAAAAGCATTTCATATTTTACAGAATACAAGTTATTAATATTACATTACCTTATATTTTATTCAGATTGTTGCTAAGGGTTTAAGTTGTAATGACTATAAAATGAATTTTATATAAATTCATTATTTATATTAAATTTTCTTGCCAGTGTAATATACATTATGAAAACATTTTATGCTAGAAAGTTTAGTTAGGCATCAATATAAATAATTATTTTCTGAGTATATGTTTAGCTTTGAAATATGGCATATGGAAATTTTAAAATATATTTTGTGAATAGTTTCATGTTATAATTTTTTTTAAATATTTTTAGATCTCTGGGTATCAGTTTGCCATATGTGCCTTGGATACCCAATAATAATGAAGCCCTGGCACTTAGACGTCTACGCAGGCGGCGCCTCATTAGCCCCCACACCACCATAGGCCTGCGGGGCTTGCAGAATCTTGGCTCTACCTGTTTCATGAATTGTATAGTTCAGGTAATGTAAAATTTTCTCTTACATTTAGTTATCACTGAAATGCAACAACTAACAAGTGTTGTATGTATAAGAATGGATAATTATGTATTTAAACAATTAAATAGCTATATGTATACGTACACTAATCCTTTTCATGAACAAATCTACCTCATTACTTAACTATACTGTACTTTCTGTTTTAATTGTAATAAAATGTTTCAATGTTGTTGTCAATAATTATTCATAATAATACATATGAGGGAGCATTAAGTTTTCATAAAATTTAAAACTGTGGTTCTTTTATACTACACTATACTTTTATACTTGAAATTTGTATTTGATAAAATATTGAAAATTGTAGTTTTGGGGGTTTGAGGGGTGGTTATACACAATAACCACCTCTCTCACTCCTCCTTCTCCTACCCCCTATATTAAAGAGGATTGATATTTCATCACCATACAGCAGTCTCTTGATAAGGATAACTGGAATGCAGTTTGAAAACCAAGCACTGACTTGCAGGCAGCAGAAGAAACAAGCATAGCAATATAAGAATGGGTATTCTAGTACACTATTGTAAATGATAATAAGTCACATTATACATAAGTTTGGTGTCCTAGTAGTGTAGCATACTGCTTTAGTTCCGATGGTCACATTTTTTATTTCAAGTGTAGTTTAAACATTTGTATTCATGTGTATGATTATTTGTACGGGTCTGGTGGTTTTCTATGTATATTATGTATGTATTATGAAAACTAAGTACAGACATATTTAAATCAGTTGTCTATAGATACCCATAATACAAGCTCTGCTTGGTTTGTTACCAGGTGGCGCTGTGTGGGTTGTATATCGGTATTATTATTATATCTATACAATTTAGAAGGACTGTGCTCATTGTTTGAGTTTTTCAATCATAATTGTGCTAAAGTATAATGATTATTCATTTATACTGTTTATTATATTGTAACAAATCTAGCCGAAATTTAAATGCCAAGATTATATTATAACGCATGTACATTAGCTAGTTTTGGTAATTGAAAACACGTAGCATCAGGTTATCGACCTGAGACTGTTTACCATTATGACGTCATAACATAACAATTTATAGGGAAAATAAATATAAGTATATTTCCATGAATTTTGTACTGAAACTGACCTTTAATGTATATATATAGACCAAAATATATGTTAATATAAAAACTTCTCAAATGCGAAATGTGCTCGCGTAATAAAAGTTATGCCTTGGCAACAGGAAATTACGCGAATTATAAGAAACAAAAATGCATTTCGATATTTTTTTTATTCACATGCAATATAACATTTAATTGTTATCTTTAGTCAATAGGTTCGTATCGTATATAACTCGTTCGTTAATAGTTCTTTCTCTTTTTGTGTTGTTATAATATTGATTTAACTTTTCTTAAACTTATATGATATATCCAATTATTACCCTGTTATATGATGGAGAGGTGTTGAATTTGATCACATTTTTCCTTATTTACTTTAAAGAAGTTTTTATAATTACCATTTAACTTATATTTCCAACTGAATGCCAAAAAGAGAAAAATCATTAGACATTTTTTGTCCGTGTTTTTTTATTTACTGATTTTTATGATAATTTTTTTATACTCAGTTAGAATTTAATACAGGAGGTGTTGGTCCCATATTAAATTTGTTACAAGTGTTAAACGATTATAAGTATATTGAATCAATTATAAACTACGCTAGTTCTTTTTATTTTTTCATTTGGTATAGCTGTTAAGAAACAGTTTCTGTAGAATCTAAGCAAACAGATACTATTTAGATGGATAAAGACATATGACTTTTTATCTATGTCAGTCGAGTACTAACTGTAGTACATATAAATGAGACATGAGATTTCTACAATTTGTGACATCTATTCACATATAACAATACAATCCTTGTAATATAACGCGGCACATCAAGGCCGTGTACATGGTACTAGCAGCGTTGCCCCTTGAAAACCATTGCTACCCCGTGATCAAAGTAGCTGTCTCAGCTCTCAGGTCGCAAGTAACCTCGATGATGAAAATATATGTCAACAACATTTTAGATTCTATCCTCCATCGGCGTGACGGCTCCACTGCAAATGGCAAAAATCAATACGAAAACTCAAGATTCGAGTATTTGTGTCTCTTTAAAATTGTCATACAACGTAAAACCATAATTATATGATATTTACCACAAATATGGATTATGTTCGTATAGTATCGTATATATAATCTCGTATTATATATTCCCCGAAACGAACCATTTACCTATGAAATATTCATTATTTCCAGACATTAATACATACTCCGTTACTACGTGATTATTTTCTGGGAGAGAAGCATAAATGCAAAGCGCAGAGTTCCGGGAAATGCCTAGTTTGTGAAGTTTCCAAGCTATTTCAGGTATGTTAAAATGCTAATTGGCCTTACGTAAATACTTGTACTTACCAAGTATTGATTTGCTCCGGTACGACGTGCTATTTATAAATTGTACAAGGGTGTTTGCGAAACATTATTATTTTAACCTTTAAAAGCAAAGAACAGTTGTTAGGTATATTGAATTGTACTTATGCTAAGTGCTATTTTCTCAGTCATTGTCGTTTTAGCATGTATAATATACAACGACGAATTTGCATTGTTAAGCAATCAAGATAATTAGGTCATAACTTCTATCTATATACCTAGTACACTTACGACTTTGATGGGGAGGATTATTATTATTACTGTATACATAAACATCACATTATCATATTATTATGACACCTGCGAAAACAGTGATTGCCAGTTCTGAGGACTAAGATGCCATGTCTCTTATCGTGTAATTTCACTGCCTAATCTTAATTTTAGTTTGCCTAAAACTGAAACAATTATCACAACACGATATTGAGGTGATGATGATGATGATGAAGCAGACGACTTTTTACAATCTAACTAGTAAAATCGATTATTTCCAATTAGAAAATTAAAATAGAACCATGCAAATTGTAAAGCAATCTAGATAATTAAGTCATAGCTTTTATACCTGTTCTACTATAAGTACTTATGACACGTTTGAATTGTCCCTCGCATATAAAACCAAATAATTTTGTATGAATTGTTTCAAATCAGACTGACAGCATTCAACCTCCTCTCATCCCTGAACACTACGGCTCTTTTATGTATTATTTTAAGATGAACTTAGGTCAAGCTAGCTTTAGTATCGTTGTCCTTGCTCTACTCAATTTTTTCTTGAGTTAAATACAGAGAGATGTAAGCGAACGAAGTGACAAAGAGCATTCTAATAATATTTTAGCATTTGCGATTGTGTAACTGCATTCGCGAATAAGTTTGCATCTGGTTGTTGCTTCGTTTTATCGGTAATGATTATAATGTTCTATTAATAATATTCGTGTTATCTACGTTTTCTTTTTTTTACTAGATTAACACAAGATAATTTTCTATAAAATCGAGCTGGTAAAACAGTAAGACTACTCAATATTCATTGTTAAAAACTTCAACATTAGCGAGAATCCTTTTTATTGAGTTGGAATGGCAAACAACATGACAGCCACTTTATTGAAAATGGTAATCGTCATCTATATGCCCATATGAATAGCATCACGAATGGTTTAAAGTATACTGCGATCCCCGTGCTACGTGTCAGACATTATCAATCCTTAGGATTCAGTTGTTTATTACTGTCCTTAGGACTCTATATCCTGTAATTTTAATTAGTAGCAGGAAATTTATTATTTTTATAATCCATATAGATTTACATTTACATATTTACTTCTATACAATTTACTTTTATTATATGTAGTCTCTAAAGTAGGTCAGACTTGTATCTTGGGTGCAAAATGTACATGATGTATTAATTTAATTTATTTTATGTTATTTAAAGGAATTCTATTCGGGAGCAAAAACTCCACTTACACTTCATCGTTTGCTGCACCTCATCTGGACTCACGCCCGCCACCTTGCCGGTTACGAACAGCAGGACGCTCACGAGTTCTTCATAGCTACGCTTGACGTTCTTCACAGGTACGGTATCTTTATGTATAAGGAATGGTGCAGCCGCCTGCACTAACGGTATACGCTGGAGGGATACCAGTGAAGCAAGATATGATGACAGAGAGAGAAGAACAAGATATGATGAGAGGTTAGTTACCCCATCATGGCGAATTCACCAGGAATTGAGTAAAAAGGTTTCCGCTTGGGCCTGAGTGGACAACTACTTAACACTACTAACAATCCTTTCTCTTCACAGGTACATATTACTATTTACTATTTGTTTAGCAGTTATATAGCTACGTTAGGGCTGTAGATACCAAAGGCATCATGGATCACAAAATACATTTTAACTTAAGGTAACACTTCAGGCGTTGCCATAGAACATTTAGTAGTATAGTAAAGTAGTATTGTAATTTTTGTTTTGTTTTAGTTTTTATCAAATTTATTTAGTTTATTTTTAATTCTATTTGTAGGCACTGCATGAATGGAGTCGAAGATACAGAAAAGAAAGAAAACGGCCGCTGCAACTGCATCATCGATCAGATATTTACAGGTGGACTACAAAGTGATGTTGTGTGCACATCATGCTCAGGTGTTTCCACCACTATTGATCCATTCTGGGACATCAGTTTAGACGTTGCCGGGCCCGGTTCTCTACAGGCCTGCCTAGAACGTTTCACTCGTGCTGAGCATCTTGGATCCGCGGCGAAAATCAAGTGCTCCAACTGCCGAGTATATCGCGAATCTACCAAACAACTAACATTGGAAACTCTCCCCATTGTTGCCAGTTTCCATTTGAAACGCTTTGAGCATTCATCACAGATTGATAGAAAAATATCTGCGTTCGTATCTTTTCCTGCAGAATTAGACATGACTCCATTTATGTCGACTCACCGTCGGGCGGTGGATGTGGGCGCGACAGATAACAATAACGCACCAGAGGGCGTCTTTGAAGACAATCGGTACTCACTATTTGCTGTAGTGAACCATTTGGGATCGCTAGATGCTGGTCACTATACTGCTTACGTGCGCCAAATGAAGGGAAGCTGGTTTAAATGCGACGATCACATGATAACGCGGGCCTCGCTTCGTGAGGTTTTAGATAGTGAAGGGTGCGTATCTTTGAAATTTTATTTATTTCATGCAATTGTAAATAATATGTGTTTTCTATATGTTACGCAGGAATGGTAGCTGTTGCACCGATTTCGATAAAAATAAATATGATTTTATCAACTATATTTATATAATGAAATGAAATGATTGCGGGGAAGCATGACGTTGTTGCCTACTAGCATTAACTATACGATCATTAAGAATAACCATTCTAAAGGCCTTTTTACAGTATCATATAAAATATGATGTACCTCTTAGTGTCATAAATCAACATTAAATAATTGTATTTATATATTATGCTCCTAACCCCTAAAACCTCTGGCATACTTCCAAAAATGGAAACTTATAATTCTAACAGCTTCAATATGTTTGTATATTCCCTTCATAAGGTTGTTTAATAATTGTTGTATGTATTGTAGTATAGGCATATTTTTTGTTCCAGATACCTTCTATTTTATCACAAGACTGTTCTGGAGTACGAGTGTGACGTATCTTAAGATGTCACCTGTCTGTCTAATATTTATCTCAAAAAATTGTATGCATAATTATTACCATGTAATCTGATGTTTAGCGTCAGATGTTTTCATTTGCTTATGAATAGGTAGTTATTTAAAAGGCATACTTTTGGACCTGTCGAATTGAATTGTAAGAAAAGTCATGTTCTCTCTCGTGATATTAGTGCTTAGATGTTTGAAGAAAATCTTGATGATGATCTTTTTGATGTTTTCTGTGGAAATATTCACGAATTTGTTAGTTGTAAGCTTAAATGTAATTACCACATACAGGGTTAGTTATAAAGGGTACGCCAAGACGGATGAGTATAATATCGAAACTTTACATACAAAATCCAATAGTTACCATGTGATTTATATGAAAAGTTTAATCATTATATTGTCCGGAAGAGATTGCTTAGCTATCAAACCGCCTCTTGGACTATTTACCTTCATTAGTGTAATCCTATTGTTCGGCGTAAAGAAGTGTAAAGTAAATTAAAAAATATTTTCTTATTCCTACAGAGTTTTTCACTTTCTTGAATATTATCACAGAGTTTTAGGTTGGTACAAACTTTTCAACTAACCCTGTGTAGATATTCTCTATAGTTAGCTATAAAATGGTGTTTAAACATTTTTCTGACGTATATACTATGATGTTTCACAACGCATTGTTGTGTTTAATGTTACAATTTTACTGTATCAGAATTTCGGCGAGTGTCATATTATAATCGTGTAGGGTATATTTCACTAAAGTGACATTTAATGACTTTACAATGTTAAATTTTAATTTCTATAAATGTAGTCAAATACGAATGAAATCCATATGCAAATAAATACAAGTAAATGATTAAATACAATACATTCTTATTGCTGCATATTTTGTGTTCGTACCTATATTTTAATTGGTTTGCAGAACAAATATTTCAATCTACCTCGCTGCAACTCTTGTATGCATTTCACTGAAGCCTATTTAAAATGTCTGACTTTTTTTATTTGTGAATATTGCTTGTAAAGTATATTTTAATTTAAGGTTAAATACACATGAGGCTAATATAACTCGTATTTTTGAAGAAGAATAACTGATTACCTGGTTCATCGTGCGTTTGAAAGATGTAAATTGTGATAGAGTATAAAATGTTTCAGGTGCTTGGAGCACCTGAGTATGATCTTTTATTATTATTTGTATGAACTGTTAAAAACAAAGTGTACAATTAATTTTATGTATAATATGTTTTTTAAATTTGGCATATAAACATATATTATTCATGACAATATGAGATTTCTGATATATTGTTTTCTTAAATATAATGTTAACTAAGGCAGAAAAATCATAATAAACAATAAAATATTAAGAATATAATATATGTATGCCAAGTATAAAAAACCAACACTAGGCTACCTGATTCATCGGTATGATATTTTTGTTCGGTAAACTCGCGTGGTACTTGCTTATAATGAGCAATAAAGCTCTCATTAAATTATAGACAAACAAATTTTGTATCGAATCAGATCAGTATGTATGGGTTTTAAAGAACTAATCTGTACTGACAAATCAGGAAGTGAGCATTTAAGTAACTGTGACATTTAATTTTGTATAAAAATCAAAATAGTCAGCTCTGTAGTAGGTGTAGGCCTTTTTTGTAAAATGATTTCTGTGATATTTAAAAAAAAACATTCATTATTTTTAATGTAAGTAGGAAACCAGATATGTCTACTGCTGGCGTTAGGGGAACAAGAATTTAGGTTATGTCTCTTTTTTCAGATCGTTTTCTTTGTGTATCGCAATAAGGTGTATTTTTCGTTACGAAGGCAAAAATGTAAATGTGTATAGAAATAGTAATGTTTGCTATTTTATCTGTATTGTTTCTGATTATATAATGTCGTTTTTTTATTTATTTGTGTAAATATTTATATTTTATTGTAATTAATAATATCTAATGGATGGATGTTTTGTGGTGTTATATTAACTCATGTGTATCTAGCGTAGATGGATTTAAGTAGTTTATAACCTTATACGACTGATATTAGCTTAATGTGATATTTAATATTTATGACTTGTATTAAAATGTAGTTAGTTGTATGGATTTACATCTGGAAGTAGTTTAATTTTGTTTTCATGATTTTACGCTTAAATGTAGGTACTAGCAAAAAGTGAGCATTGTGTTAATACACATATGTATTTTTTTATTAATAATATCAAATAACACTTTTTTAATTAAATTAGGTTCAAATAGAAATTTCACATACGCTTATAACGTATGCTGGCGGGATACCATTGAATAATTTATGTAGTTATAAATCCTACCAAGTAGTTTTAACTGACAAGACTTCCTCTTTTTAAATTGCAGTATATTTATTTATGATATATGTTATTAATTTATTTTACACCAAATCTGGAACTAATCGAATAATATTCATTACTTTTACAACGGCGTATTGTTTTTTTTCCCCGAGTCGCCTCTTATGACATAGGAATGAAAAGGAGTGATGTCGCATTGTATTATTCATCATTACACCAATTCATTATGTACATATAAATTTATGTTTAACTATCGACTTTAGATATGTAAAATAAATTTCATGTTTAAGGAATTACTAGTTTAGGAGTAGTTTCCATATAAAAGTCACAACTATGTTCATTGTAGATTCTAATAATTTCGAACAAATTCGCCACTATTTGCTAGTGTCTACTGTTTTACAAATTATGTTGCATTTAATAATTTAGTAATTCGGATCCGAGCCTAATTATATATCTGAACTATTAGTCCATACTATGATGAAAATGTGATAGAGAAACGATTTCGCTATTATGTATAATTATTGCAATTATTATTTCAGACTATTATTACTCAAAATGTGAAAAATATTATGTATACTATCCTTCTTAATATATAGGATATAGGAATTAAATGGTGTTTAAAATTCGAATACATGTATAAAAAAATATAAAACAGGTGTAACAAAAAAAAATGTAATTTATCCCTATTGTTGTTGTTTAAATTTGATAATCATGATATCGTTATTTAATGGAGTATTATTATTAATTATAATGGCATGAAATAATTAATATACATACTATTTGAGATTGATAAATCTGGTTGATTGAAAATTTCTTGACTATAAAATAGCACTGAATAATATTCCTCGATTTATTAAGTAATTATAAATTGTATTATTTTAATATCGGTTCGATACAAAATCGAATGGTCACAGATGCTAAAAGTATCGTTTGTGATAATGGCCTTATGCGCCTTATAGAAGTCTCTTTTAAATTAATCATATAAAATCTGTAATTTTTAAAAGATTTAAATTAGATATGTGCATGGTGTTAGAATAAAAAATGAGAGGTATACGTGTGATTTGGATGTGTGGTATTTGTAAATTGTAAAGGTAAAAGGTACCTTTACTAAATAATTGTAATTTAAAACGCGAGTAATGAAAATGCCAACTGTAAGACTGATTTTGGTACTGCGACAGTGTGAAAAGTATCAATAGGTGCTGCCTTTCTAAAACATTTATTTTCATTGTGATTGAACAGTGTCTAAATAATCTAAATTAAAGCTATTTATAATTTTAATTAATTGCCACCCTACAAGACACTGTTCACTTATGAATTCTTTTGGATAGACACTATTTCTAATAACTTTATATTGACTATCGGAAGTCGACTCCATATATTTACAACCCTAAAATTTAAATGTGTCTAACATCACATACACATTTAGAAATTCTATTTTACTGAAGTAAAAAATACATGTGACTGTCCACGCTATTTTCAATCATCCATATATGTCATTCGTTGATAAGGTTTCTATAGCAATGACATGATTATTAATATTTAAAGTAAGTAAATGTTCAATAGATTAATCAATAATCCTTTCACTGATGATGTCTTGTTTGAATGTTAAATATCATACGTACACGTGTAGGTATGATTTATGGAATAAAATACTATTATAAATCACTATTGTTATTTTCTTTCTAATCGAAAAAATAAGCTCTACACTAATATACTATTGCTGAATTTGTGTCTACATAGAAATGAGTATCTATATACGCTAGATAAACTTAAATGTCACAGGATACACAAGCCAGTAGCTACACAAAATATGCACTTGACATTGTTGTGTATAGCAATAAACTTTAGTCTCAAAAATATACAGATTTTCAGTTTAGAGAATATGTCTATAAAATAAGGAAGCACAATAATTAAACACTTCAGTTCGGAACTGCAGATTATTCAGAACTACCTTCGTCTATCTGGTTTACAGAGTTACAATATAGACAATGATGACGTAGATCATTGTCTATATTGAGATCGTGGAGAATGATGATCGACGTAGAATGAATGACGTAGGATTCATTTAAAGCCTTCTACTATCGATTGCGATATACTAAGATTACAGGAAGTTGTTAGCATTTTAAAGAATCACTGCATGCGCCATGTAAGTACCATTGTAATAAAAAAACAACTTGTATAGGTATGTTTTTTATTTTTCAAATAAAATATCACAACTATAATTTTGCTTCAAGCAACAATGCAATAACATAAGAATAAAAACATTAATGAGATGAGAATTATATTTTCCGTGTCATTTAATGACATTCAATTAATTAAAATAATTTTGATGAGGGTAACCTAAATTATTATATCAATTACAATTTATTACACTAATCAGCCTAAATAATTTCAGATCATTCCTTGATAAATAATGGCAATTTTGAAATTTTTATTACTGTAAAATACAAGGATTTTTATTTCACATAACATTTCTTCAGATTTCGTACATAATCATACTGTTTAATTTTCCATATATTGTACATAAAAACATTGTGACTATTAAGTCTGATAACAACTGTGTTAAACTTGTTATGTCTAATGATGGAGCTCCTCAAGCGTATTAATCTACTAGTAATAAGTATGTAGTAAGAAAAATCTAAATTACACCAATAACTACATCAACATGTTCACTAAATAGATACAATGATCAAGTAGACTTAGGAAATTAAATATATAATATACTAAGTTATTGAATCGAATTAATTATTGAAACCAATTTCAACTTTTCTACTAGCAATATCACCATTAGCAACAGAATATTGGATATACGATAGTATGTTAAAATGTACTCATTTATAGAATTTAACTATTCGTATTTGAATATATTATTTAATAGTATAGTCATAATTACTTCTTATATATAACTTTCAGATACACATTCCTATTGTCTAAAAATAATATCATATAGTCAAAAAAATAATTTAGTATTCTTAGACAGAGCACTATAAGAATTCAAGACGGTATTTAGAAATTACTGCGAAAATGTATTCAATTAATTAAAAACAAAAATACAGGTAATTGAAAAGTACGATAAGGGTAATATAATGGATATTGCATCGATTTTATAACAGTATCAATATGAATTTTATGTTGTTACCAAAAGCAATAGAAATTTTACGGTAACATTTTTTATTTTTTAAATATTAGATAGTATATAATGTGGTCAGTAAAATAATACGCAATAAATGTAAGTATACATCCCTATATTCTATAAATAATAGTATATGTGTCTGTATATACATTATAAAACTAAAATGAAAATATATTTTAATTTATACAAGTTATTCAGTAAAAACATAAGGACAAAAATTCAAAGTCATACTCTTTGTTTTTGTTCTTCATATAATGGCCAAACAAACTTAACCAGACTTCGACTAGATAACTAATAGATTTATTATTAACAAAATATGAAAACGAACATAAATTTATTTTTAAATTAATATTTACATGAATATATTTTACTTTCAAATATAACATTAAACTGAGAAGAATTAATAGAACCTACACTATAATATTCGCAGATTTCGTATGTAACATTACAAAAAAATTAAAACATGTTTTAGCTAAAGATGAGGAGACATTGATTTACATAAATGTTTATCCTAACAACTTAACACCAAAGTAGATCGTTGTTATAAGTATCGTTGAAGTGTATTCATGTAAAAACTTGATATTTATTATAACAATGTGCATAGGGAATTTATTTGCCTTTCGGTGGTGGAATTTGAGCTGGCGCTTCATCAAGCAGGTTTTCAAGCTGCTTCACATCTGTGACGGGGAGAGAGCACGCGTAACGTCTACACACATACGCTGTGGGAACGTCGCCAGCCGATCTGATGCGGGTTAATACTAAAAAAAGTGTTGTTATAATTAAATAAGTTATCTTATACAGTAGATTTGTGCATATTATACCAATCTTTTATTAAGATAGACAGCAGCAATGTCTGGCGATTACGGCGATCGAGCAGTCTAGCACATTGCTTTGTTTTCCGATAACAATACAATGACGATTAACAACATTTATATTAATGAGTATTAATGGTACGAATTTTTCTTAGTTTAAGACTATATGGCGTTGTGTGAATTATTCGTGGTCACTATGCGCATGAGAATTGTCTAAGATAGCCCGGTCTTCTCGTGGGTCTGGTAGCGGTGGATAATTTATGATAAGATTCGTTTTTTATATGACAAAACTATCTGGATTCCCAACGGATGTGAATTTATAACCCCCCTCCTCTCACCTGCCTCTTCTACGATTACAGTAAAGCTACATTGTCTCAAAAAAAAAACGGGGCAATAGTTTAAATTCTAATTGAATTCCATTGGTTACTATTTAAGGACTAATGTATGGTTATTCTAAAAAATACATGTGGTAAGCAAAAATGGTATACAGAGTTAGAAGTAACCAGTTTCTTTGTGTGGCAGACAATGTTGACAGTTGTGACTAAAATTGGGCAATTAATAATACAGTTAACATAAGAATAAAATATTTTGATTTTATTATAGAACAACTGTACAAAATTCATTATTTTGGTATTTCATGAGTTTTGATTCATCCTCAACCTGAGGTGTTAAGAAGTAATTTAAAAATATATTTTTATATTTATAAGTAACAGTATTTTTAATATATAAGTACTCCAAAACAACATAATTTAAACCTATAAATTATGTTGTTTTGTGGAATATATTACGTAGTAGTATTTCAACTTTAATAGTACCTTTACAAATAACTCTGTATGATCAGTGTGGAAGCATGTCAACAAATATTAGAACTATCTACATGAGTCACATAGTACATTGTGAGACTCACGTATGTCAGACATACCGGCGGGCGACTCCGCAGTCGGGTCGGAGACGGCAAGCACTCGACCCGGCAGCAGACGCGATCTCACCACGCGCACCAGCTCCAGGGTGCGGGGGTCGCTGCACCCGCCCGATATCAGCACCTAACCGTTTTTAAGATTTTATTCAACAGTTGAGTCTTATACCAGGCTATCTTAACCGAAGCATTCAGGTTTATACCAGTTAATCTTAACCGAAGCAATCAAAAGAATTGATGGTAACATTAAAAATAGTAATAAAAAATATTATAGATGAGCTAAAGTGTGCAAAAAAGTAGCTTCAAAAAAAAATTGCTTTTATCACGTCCAAACTAACTTTATTTGCATAGAGTTTTCCCACTTGTGCCCGGGTCAGTAATATTTGAGAGACAATAACATTTTTATAAAAGATAAATGGAAATAACTAGTACAAGCTATTACTTTTTGTAATTTACAAGTTCTATATCAAATTATTAATAGATCACACACATTGCACTATCACTTATTGTATAAATTAACACACCTGTGTTGGAGAATCATTATAAAACATAAGGGCTGACATCATCTCTGGAAGTGCCGTGGGTGAATCCGTGAGCCGTTTCGAGAAAGCGAGAAGCAACTGTTTCGCCATTTCCCTCTCATGATCTCCGCCCTCAGGTGCCGCACTTTTATCTGCATATGCAGCTAGTCGCTGAAGGTTGTGACAGGCTACACTATTGCCGGAAGGTTCAGCGCCATCTTGGTCTGTTTACATACCAAATATACACTACTGGGGTCAACCAGTAGTAAAAATATGATAGGAAATACAGAACGTTAATTAAAAATAGATTAAGAAGTCCCAAATCACAAGCAGGTTAATCAATATTCTATAGGAAACTACATGTAATATTTCCTAGGAGTACATTAAATAATTTAACAATAGTCTAGTCATTTTTATCCATCATCTTAGATATCTGTATATTTACTAATGACCTTGAGAAAATTAGTGAGGAGAGCTGTGATTATATGAGGAAGAAGAGCTAGAGCTAGCTACTACTCAACTAGGTATTGAAAAGATTTGAATTCACTCTATTAAAACATGACATTGGTATAAGAATTTAATGCAATTGCACCTTAACGGAGTTTTAGAGATTATATTATTATTAGGCTTTGAATACTAGAAAATAATGTAATAGTTAATATATATTCAGGTATGTTTATTTTTTTATTACCTTCCTTGAGTCTCAATACAACAGTGTTATCTTCTGCTGAACAAGTAAAATATCCACCATTATCAGGATCCCAAAACAATTTGTCCTGAGTTTGTTGTAACTCTCTAGCCCAGTTCAGCCAGCTGAGATCAAGTGAGGCTTCATATAAGTCCAACAAACCCTTTATAAGATAAGCATAGTCATCCAGAAAACCTTTAATTGGCTTTTCCCTAAAAAATAAAATATATAAATTTAAGATAATATTTTTTAATAATGAGTGTATGTAATTATTGTATTAGCATTCCACCTTCTTAAGCATACTCTGCACCAAACACTTTTTATAGTGCATTTTATCAATGTTAATTTGTAAATAATATCTATATAATTTTATATGCATAGACTTATTATAGTATCAGTTAAATTTGTGTTGTTTTATTTAGAATAATTAAGACTTACGTTTGCGCAACTGCACCATCATCAGCTTTATAACAGGAATGCAACAGTGTGTTTGTAGACTGATCATACAAATGATTTTTTATAAACTGTGCAGTTTTAATAGCATCTTCTACATAGTCTTTTTCTGCTAAGCCTTGTCCTGCTTGTGCTAAACCAGCTATCATCAGACCATTCCAAGAACACAGCATTTTGCTATCCAGATGAGGGCGAGGCCTCTTTTGACGAACTTGGTACAGTATGTCAATGCATTCAGATATTACTTGATTAAATTGATCTACAGATAGGCCAAACTTTTTTGCAGTTTCCTCTTTACTGCCATAGATAATTAAAACATTTTTATTTGTTAGTTCTCCATGAGGATCACTAGCCGGAGAAATATTACCATCTTCTTCAACACTAAAGTAATCAGTAAATATATCTACATATGGTATATCGTTTAACTTTTTATCTCCAATAATTGACTTTAATTCATCATATTCCCAGACACAAAAAGCGCCTTCTTTCTTATGAGTTGCACCAGTAGTTGGATAAGAATCAGCATCTTCTGCACTATAATAACCACCAGACTCATGTCTCAGATCTCTATTTACGTACTTTATAATATCGCGCACAATTTCAGCGTAGAATACATCTTTAGTTGCTAAATAGGCATCAGTGTAAGCAACAAGAAGTTGGCCTTGATCATATAACATTTTTTCAAAATGTGGTACATGCCAATCATTGTCTACTGAGTAGCGGGCAAAGCCACTAGAAACATGGTCATGGATACCACCCTTGGCAATCTTTGTCAATGTATACAGGCACATATCTAAGCATTTTTTTCCTTCTGGGTGAGATTTATCTCGAGCATAATAGTGGAATAAAAAATTAAATATAGACGCCTGTGGAAACTTAGGGGCCATACCAAACCCACCAAATTCAGGTTCATAACTAGACATATATCTTTGCACACATTTATCCCACGTAGCTTCACCAGGCATAGAAGATGAACATTCTCCATCAACTATAGATAATTTCTGCAGGGCATCCAGGATATTTGTGCCTGCTTCTAAAAATTGTGTTTGGTTCTCCTTCCACTTTTTAGCTAAAGACAACAGGATGGTTTTGAATCCTGGGCGACCCCAGCGGTCCTCAGGTGGGAAATAAGTGCCACCAGTAACAGGGCGTAAATCAGGAGTCAAAAACACAGACATAGGCCAACCTCCACTACCAGTGGTAGCTAATACAAACAACATATAAACACGATCTATATCAGGGCGCTCCTCTCTGTCTACTTTGATATTAACAAAGTGTTCATTCATGATTTTTGCTACATCTTCATTCTCAAATGACTCCTTTTCCATGACATGACACCAGTGGCAAGTGGAGTAACCAATTGAAAGGAATATTAATTTGTTCTCTGTTTTAGCTTTATCTATAGCTTCTTGGCACCATGGATACCATTGTACAGGGTTATGAGCATGTTGCAGTAAGTATGGAGATTTCTCTGAGATTAAGCAGTTGGTGTGTTTGAAATTTTCCACTGGTTTAGATTCAACACTGGAACTAGTCATTTTTGAAATGTCAGAAAGATTCCTACACAATGGTGGAGTTGGTAGATTGCTATGACCAAATGTAGAGAACCTGTAAATAAATAGTTTACATTTAGGTACAAAAACTTAGATTATTCTTCTATGATATGCATTATGTGTAATTAATATCATTATTATATATGTGACAGGCATAAGAATATTTAAATAACCTCTTATATTAAAATTGTAAAATAATACATAAAGGAAAATATACAATTATTGTGTATTAAACAGAAACAAATTACATTTAAACAGAGGCTTTTAGTTTCATTTTATTGATCCATTATGAAAATTCACATTTTGAAGGATTATAGATGTAGCCTGGAGAAACAGTCTAAAAACACTAAGCATAAAATATACCGATAATAATAAATTTAGCAAATGTCTAGCAAAAATGTTATTATTAAAGTATTCCTAAGTCACAATTTGTAAATTATAATTACAAGTTGATGAGAGAGATGGTAACTCAGCAGAATTTTTACTACATACTTTATACAACCCACAGCCATACATTATAAAAAAAATATCAAAATAAATAATTTTGTAAAAAAAACAACATATTGTTCATTTTATTATATAACAAGGTACTGTTTTGGTCACTTTATTATGCAATTATGTAATATTTGAATAAATACACAAAATATTCATACTCTAATAGTTAAATATTAGCATAAAATCTGAATTAACAGGACCAAAGGTGATAAATTATATTTTTACGGATAAATTATAAAATGACATTTTTAATGTCGTACTTTAGTGCAGTTTGACCAGTCATATTGCATTATATAATAACGAGGCAAACAACAAATAACATCGATTATACGGAAATATTTCATTTAATTTGAGTAGTTATTGAGTAGATTCTATTATTTTGAGGTGCTATTATCAGTATAGCATTTATAACTGTTCTATTTGTACACACAAAACTTGTAAACAAAAACAAGGTCATTCGACATTCTAACAACAACAGACAGGTACAAATTATATACTCTTTATGATGTCTGTATGATGTTCCTTAGTTTTAATTCCAACTTGCAAGTAGTTACAGGCAATATTATTAAATACCTTTTTGGCAAGGCTAAATCACGGTGAGTGCACACCGGGTGAGCAATAATTGATTCCTTGCTTGTACTTTGATTAAAATTAAGATTCTTGAGTTTGTTGTCACCAGTCGATAATCTCCTCAACAACAACACGGCACGACCAGTAGGCATAATAGAATTATGTATAAAATTTTTCACGTTTCAGAACATAAATATATAAATATTTAATAATTTTCTTCAAAGTTAGCAAAATATTACAAGCAATGATATTTAATGATTGACTGACTATAAATGAATGACATTTAAGATTATTTCAATCTTTCGGTTGTCATTTTTTTAATTTATTCATGACCATGGATATACATTCTACAGTGGAACACATTGTAATAAAATAAAAATGTTTGAACAGATAAAGTAATCATCTTTATACTTATAAGCTTTAGATTAGATAATTGCAGTAAAATAATCAATAATATTTCCCCCCCCCCCCATATTTACACATATAGAAATGAAATAATAAAAGTCTATACCAGAATGCGGAGGAGAACGATTTAATATACGAGTCTCTAATGTCACTCACTGACATACATCAATGTTTGAATTTTAATAGCCTTAACAGCACTTAACAGTTACAGACTATGCCTGATATACAAAATCGAATATTATGGAGTATACATTTAGATTTGTTATTGAACAGTGATTATATATATATTATTACTTCTAATTTTAATCTGCTGAGATGAGATGGAACAAAATTTTTATTGCAGTATTTGAAGTTGCTGGATCAAGTTTTCACTGGTAAGCACCATTTAACTGCATTACATTTACCTTTAGTCTCCATTGATATTCCAATATCTTTTAGTAAAATATTTTGAAAAAAAGTTGGTATCTGGTGGTAATCGGTGAATGTAAGTTCCAAAACATCTTATCCTCGGCGTTGTCCTGTTGAGTTGCCAAATCCACAACCTCATTCCCAGTTATGCAACTGTACTCACACAAATTCAATGTTTATTGTATTTGTTTATATATACTGTAATTTCTTTAAACTATTCATATATTTACATTATCTACAAGTGTAACAGTTATTCTGAAACTGATATTTTGTATCACATAATTGTCTCATCAATGTGGGTTCTAGTATTCATGCAAACTACACTACTGTATGCAAAATTATTTCTTATTATGCTTTTCTATAAAATATTGAGTGGGAGTATATTTGCATTGTGGTATACAATATGAATGATTTTATTGTTATACATATATTGTTATACACTATTCCTATACTTATGTGTTTCTAACAAATACTAGAATTGAACTTTTTTTCAGCGTTAATCTCTAATTTGAGTATATTACTGTAATAATTTTGTATTTCGTTAAATGCAGGAATTATATTATATACAGCTTTATTTTGTTACTTTACCATTACTGTTTATTATATACATTTAAATTAGAAAAATTACATTCTTATAAAGAATAACATTTGGAACAATCTGCTATTATATAAACACTTGTCTTTTACAGATTGGTTATCATACAATGATGGCATTACAATTACCTGAGTTATAGTGGATATTGATAGCTACCCATCGGATTATCATGAAATTTCCACTGACCACTGCCAGAGAGGAGTTATTCTGGGACTGACTAATGATATACCTATTGCTGATGCCAGCCTCTTTGGAGATTGAATAGTGGTTGGGCTGCCATTGTTCAACACACATAACTCAATCTATGAAATTGTATATATTGTTATTACCACAGCTATTCTTTGTATGACAACAATTGTTGTAACTTTATACAACTAGGTATTTACTATATATATTTTGCATAATGTATAAGATAAAATTACAAAATAAAAAGGAAGAAATCAAGGTTCTTGCTCAATTTAATTACCCAACAAAAAGTCCTTCAATTAACAGTTTAACCATTTTGAATAAATATTTATCCATAACTATATTGTAAAATATATGTGATTAACATTGAGATTTGAGATTAAAATGTTTCCATACACCTCAGCCAAATAAAATACAATAGAAGAATGTAATACTGAGGGTTTTTTTTTTATTGGATTGTTTGGGCTATTGTCAGATGTGTAGCACCTGTAGCACTGCGACCTACATAGATCTATTGTGCTCGCCCTTTTCAGAGTTCGCTACCTAGACCCATCAGGGACAAGAATTGAAGGATATTCTTAGGAGTGATCGTTTTTATCTCCTCGGGAAAGAGTGTAAACTTTCCAAAGGAGATATTTCGTTTATGCATGAGTGGGCTACAACCACATAGGATGTGAAGCGGCATTTCCTCTTCAGTTTGGCAGAATCTGCAGATACTTGTCGTGCATAGGCCTAGTTTAGCCATATGCTTGTTTAATTTGCAGTGTCCTGTGAGGGCCCTAGTCATCATGCATATGTTGTTTTTACTCAATAGCAGTAGTCTATTGGAGTATTTGGTCGAGAAGCCCGATATTAGGTCTTTTGAATGTGTTAATCCTGGCATTTCTTGCCAGTGATTCAGTGCTTCTCGATACTGAGGGTAAATATTATAAACATTATATTAATTACATTTTGTCTTTTTTATGCATTATATTCTCTTCTCAAACATCTGAGTTCATATGATATTGAAACCTTAAAGAAAAGAGCTTATTTCTTTTTAAAAGCCCGCAATGCGCTTGCAGTTCCCTTGGTATTGCGGGTGCTGGGTAATCACTTACTATCAGGTGACATGACAAGCTCGTTTGTCCACTATGATATAAAAAAAGTCATATGATTTACGAAGCGTGAATATATAATTAATATCACTGAAATTGCAAATTAGCACGCCTGACCTGACTGCTAATCTAAGGTCCGTAGGAAATTCATCGGCTGGGTATCTAATTTTATATAAAAGGATTAATGTTGTAGTTTCTTATGAAATGAAATTTTTTGCTTTGTGGTTTTATATTAATGGTTTAACATAATTATCATATAATAGTCATTTCTGACATGCAATATAAAACATGTGTCATTTATCTTAAATTGATTAACAGGAGTTTTAGTGTATTCAGTATCTATTATGTAATGAATGTTCCAATAAACCAATTCTCCCTTGAACCTCGTGGCTATTTACGGTACTTCTTTTTACGTGGGTAAAATCCCTCATGGAGACCCATATATCGCAATGGTTGGACTGACGGATACTGTGATTCCTAATTCCTAAAAACCGCACGGCATTCCTTCTTGCGGCCTTAATGCCGGGATAGGGGATAGTGTTCACAATCGACCGTGATCCCGGCGGCGGTTGCGGAGCAGACCCTCTTCCCAGTTTCCCTGCCTCCACCCACTATGGGGGAGACACACAAGATGCGTCTTCCCCCTTCTCGGCTCCTGTTGTGTGGACAGCAGACTTGAATCCCTGCGACTGCTGCCCACGCATAGCCGCGCCAGATCCGCACGTGTCCTGCACGGGTTCTTAGCAGCTGGGACGGGCCCCAAATATGGGCTTTTGTTCTAGCCTGTGCCCCCCTGTCGTCAGGCTATTCGCAAATAAAGCAACAAATACCCGAAAATAGTTATTATCCATTGCCCATATTGTACCAGACCCAACCATTCCCCGCAAACATAGCCACGATGATGCTGGACATTGCCCGGCTCACACTCCTTATTACGCCTTTGGTGGTACTCCTCATGAATACTATGAAGGTATCATTCTATACTAGACTACTACTTGGCTTTCATTCACCGAAAGTATTTAGAATATGTATTTAATAATAATGTATTTAATTTCGGTGAATAGAGGCGGTCAGGACGGTCAGCTGTCCTTACATTAAAATACATACCGCTGATTACCCCTTCTGACATTATAGTTCGAAGGCTAGTCCTTTTTAAGTTTTTAGCCTACACTGATGAATACGACCAATGCATCATGTGCTACATGCTTACTACAGATGAGAGATGACTGACACATTACTGGAAATCGTATTATTATGTAGGTAGATATTAAATAAACATTCAATTTAATAAATTTCTTATTAACAAAATAAATTTATATATAACTAAATTACATAACTATCCATCTTTACATGGAATATTGAGTGGTAGAGGAGGAGTCAAAACATCATGTATATTAGAGGACATTGATCCCCAGCGACTCTCCGCATGTAGGTCCTATCACTATATTTTTATTAGCGACCATCGCAATGGGGTCCATCGCATTTATATTTCAAGGCATGCACCCTCGTGGCCGCTCTGAATTAACGCATGCGCTGAAATCCCGACGCCATTCCCACTTTCACTACAACACGTCGTGTTTTGACGTATAGCTAAATGTCCACTAGTTTCCTCGGCCTAATGTGTTCTTGACACGAAATGTGGTGTTCTATTTACGAAATGAAATTCTGTGTAAAGTATCCCTTATGATAGTGATATGTGACGACTAGTAAAATTGCCTAAGGTCGGTAATTGGTTATGTTGGTAAGCGACAATACGACATTGTTGTCATTGACTACAGTGTAATGTAAACAAATTGAAAGAATGTTAAACGGTTTTACTTAAGTGCCTATATCACATGTTTAGATAAAGTACCTATTATAGGTGTGTTAAAATACAAATCAAAATTATAAAAAAAATGTGTATTCAATTTATTGGTTAATGGCTGAATAACCAATACTTATACGAAATTTTATAATTGTGATAACTAATCATCAAAATACTAGAAATGACAAAACTATTAGATGACTTATCTACTAATATATAATAGATATATTTTGTTTACACTTTATAAGTACTTTATGCAGAATGTAGAGTCAAAATTGAAGTTTATTATATCTGTAATAATTATTGTTTAATTATCTTATCAGTTATTGCGTTCATAATCCATAAGTAATCCTTTAATATTTAATATAAAATTATTTACTTAATTTATCTGAATTGAGCAAGCCCATGTCTTGCTAAGTGGGGTATGAAATTGCGGTTCGTTGCTACGGCAACGTCAAGAGGGTTGAGTTGAGGCCCTTCTCAGTGGAGTTTTACGCTCAGAATTCCCTTCCTCGGTTGATTGCCAATATCGATACTAAGAAATTGAATTTTGATATTTTTGATATTTATGCACACACATATCAATATTTAATGGTCGTGGGTAAAATTCCTGTATTTATACTCATATTGATACTATAAATCTGTTATATTCTATATTTTATTCTAATATTTACATTTAGATATAATATTGTTATAGTCAATGAAAAAAATGAACATTGTCTCGAAGCAAAACTCTAAATTACAATAAAATAGATATACGCCCCTGTGGGCCTAACAGGATCTTTTACCAGTTTCGAATTATATCTAATTGTACTTGAAATCATATTAATGTCCTTATCTTCTTGTCTAAACCTTTCTTTACGTATTTATTTAAAGAAAGAATCATGTATCTAAATACATATTTTATTTGATAAACAAACCAAAAATATTAATTTAGGTACATAAGTAAATTGCATATCTTAATTTCAGATCTAATAAACTTAGATATTATAAATTTCTATGACAGTTCGTTTTAAGTGGTTTTAATATAGTACTTAGAACTGTAGTATTGTAATGTTTAATGTAACATGGAAACTATATCTGATATACTCGTGCATGCAAGCTCTGAGAATTAACTAGCTTAGTTATTTAAGGAATAATCATGTGAAAGCACTTACTTTAATAATGGATTAATTTTTTTATTACCATTCATGGATTTTAAAGAACTCAGTTGCCCCACAAATACACATTAATAAAACAATACTGTTTGCAAATATATACTTAGGGGAACTTGGCCTTATTACTTCGCTCATCTAGAATCCTACATCTAGAATAATCGAATGACCTCGTATATATTGAAAATGTATAATTCAATGCAGTCAATTGCTCGGTAAATGTAAGCTAATTGTTCTCTCTCCCTTTTTCATTAACGTTCGTCTTTCGTGTTCCAGGTGTGCCGTAAACAAGCCAAGCCCAACATACGTGCCTTTATATTCTTCTCCAATTAATAATTAGGTATAAATACAAAAGTCCATTAGAAGCGTCCAATTAAATTGAATCCATCAAATCTGTCCAAGATGAAACTATATTGACAGCAATGTCTTCTGAATTTAAATAACGAGACAATACCAATGTGGAACAAATTGCAATAGGTGACGTGAATATTGCAATAGTGTGGATGGTGTTGCTGGCAAGATGTCTGTGTGGGTGGGCAGTGGGTGCGCCGGCGGCGGCCGCGAGGTGCGCGCTCCGCCCGCCGCCACAGCCACGCTGCTCTCTACCAACACCTCTATGGAGTCTGGTATTGAAGCTGGAGTATTGCCCACTGTTACGGGATCGCTGGCGTCGGCTCGTGACTCCCTCGGTTCACTTTCCAGAGCAGCGGAGCCGTTATATGATACTGATCACACGGATTTGGGCTCAGAGTTGGATGAAGCAGAGATCAGAAGGGAGTTGATGCATGATGTGAGTTATTATTTCTTGTGTTTTCCCAGTTACTTTTACTAGATTTAAAAAAATGTCTCCGTGTATACCTCATTCTAACCTACATATTTTGAACTCCGAGCAGCTTATTTCGTATGCTGTGTTTTGGTTGTAGGATCAAATTAGACAGTGTAATTACGGGTTAAGAGGCATGTTATCTTAAGCTGGCTGTTGCAGTCTGGCTTGTATGCCATTTATTTTAAAAAATGTTTTGTCTGCGTAAATTATATGTTAATCAAATTTTACTCAATTCCGTTATCAGTAGTAAATATTGAATTGACTAACAAATTCTCAAATCATATTTTTATTTACATTGATATAATTAAATAATTAACATACCGGTGCTACACGCCTTAGTTATTTATTAAATATTATTGTGTATTTCTTTTTCAGAAATGGCGCCTTTTATTTGATAGGGTGAGTTGATATTTATTACACTATCATGAGGATTTTTTGCCATGTGTAGGACAGAAAAAAATGTTATGTTCGTTATAAAGATGCCAGCGACGTGACTTGTTGGCGTAAAATATAAATTGTTAACAAAACGCCGACACAGATATCACGTGCGATATTTTCTTTTTGTGCCGCTACCAGGTATTTCCACCCCATATAAATGGTAAAGTAATAATATTGTCGTACGGTTTTTGCATCAAAATTACAATGTTTACTGTTAGTGAAACTCGTAAACTAAATGGTAAATAACTTTATATGTACAATATAAGATTACGATATCATTAATACTTTATTTTGTTTTGAATATGGACCTAAATAATATTATATTAGTTAAGACCATATTCAAAGTCTATAAAAACACTAAACACTATAAATAAATAAAAAATATTTTACTTATTTGCACAGCTTCTTAGCTAGAGATAACACGGTGTTATTCAATTGACAGCCTCAGTGGTCTAGCGGTTTTGGCCACCGCTGTACTTCCAGTTGTCACGAGATGGTGTTGTGTTAATTGTCCAAGGATAAAAAATATATAAAATTATAATCGGTAGGATACTTGTAATTTAAATGTTTAGTAAATTGAGTACGTTTATTTTATTTCAATAGATATTTGAGAGGGATGGAGGCGATTTCAAATTATAGAAATAGAAATAATAATGTTTATATCAATAAACTTAATATAATGACTTTTGAATAGTAATACACTTTTATCCTACTATGCATTCGGAACGCAGATAACAAGAAGTAAGAGCAAGAAATTTGCGTGTTGCTCTTTTAAATAAAAGTTGTTTTAAGTAAATAAATATTAATAAGGATTAAGCAGCGGTCAACTAAACATAGAAATCGTTATATACTCAATCTTGGTTCAATCATAGAAAATGTCTAACAAAAGAGTGTAGGTTTATATCACAGTTAGAATTTTTAGAATTACTTCGGAATATACATTGATTACTCACTAAATAGAAAAAAAATAACATTAATCTATGTACCGTATCCTTATTTGAGAAAAACAGTCGGGTAGGATATAAACAAATTTCAAAGAATAACGTTTTGTTTTTGGTTGATTAAAATGTACAGAAGCGGGGTATAAAATGTTTTAAAAGCAGATAAACTGAGTCGGTAGCGCCGTGGATCAAACGATGTGTCGTCACGTACGAAACATTGAGATAATGTGAGGTAGGAGATAGGGGCGCTTCGAGTTTTTTGTCCCACTCTTTTAGGAAACGAATAGAAATATTAAAGTAAATATGAATAAATATGTGTGAAGAATTTAACAATTATGATATTTCGGAGGATATTGAGACTGCGATTAAATGGTTTTGTACGTGACCGTTGTAAGAATGTTTATAAATGTATTTTTGTTGCAGTTCGATCCGGAAGGTTTCGGTGAAATTCCTTGGCCTGATTTCCAACAGACACTACACAATCCAGATTTTATAGCACAGATTCCGCCGCATAAAAGAGAAGTAAGTATACTGAAATAGTTATAGAGAAACCAGCGATGTCAGTAGGAATATCATGTTAACACATTTGATCTACAATCTGATTCTGTAGAGAGAATACGCGTATGTACTACTGAGATCTCCTGCAGAATATACTACCACGTAGCTTATTTCCTGCTTGCCGTGTTTTAAATGTTTGAATGGTATAAATCGATAGTAATTACTGGATACGACAGCATTACATCTTAATTTTCAGGAGTGATGATTCATAAAGAGTTTTCCATTTTCCATTAGAAAAATATGCTATTATCGAGACAAAATAATAGGAGACAAATATGGGTAATAAGTACTATGAAAAAATATCGACATCCGATTTTGTTTTGAAGAAGATATCACGTTGTGAAGAACTACCTAAAAATATAATCCAATTGAGAACTTACTTTTGCCAGGCGTGGAAAAGAAGTCATAGACAGATATAAGTATTAATTTATACTTATTATATTCTAGATTCTTCTGGACAAAGCCCGAAGTGCGACGAGTGATGCCATCACCTTCCAAGAGTTCGTCAATGTGGTAAGTATTTTTCTGTACCTTGCAATGCGTCTTACTGGTGGAGATTACCAGACGTCTCTTAAGGTAATATTTGCCTACTGACACTACAAAAAATGATCTACCCAATTAAGTTCATAAATTCCTTTTTTACTATCGTCTGTAATAAATATGAGGATGTAACGTATGCGTCAGTGGGGCCCGGCGTCCTTTACCGAGCCTTCACAGTGGGTTAGGTTATGTTCCACATCCAGTCGCTGCCTCCCACAATACAAGACAACTAAATTAAGATGCAACGCCGATTACGCTCACCTCGCGCGCGTTCGGACACAATACGAGTCTCTAAAACCAATTCAACAGACACTAAAGTAAACCCCATAAAAGATTTGCTTAACGAAAACGTAAACGTAAAAGTTAACCCGCACGAACCTCTTAAACTGTAGGGATCCATATCCTTATCGGGTTTACTGTCGCCTCTCGAAAGACGATAAGGTCCGGCACGATTTATTAGGTGGACATTTATTTTTGTGTGGTAAAAATATATTATCTTAAATGCGTATTAACACTGAGCACAGTCGTTTATTATTTGTTTACTTTTTGTATACAGATACATTTATTAGTTTAAAAATATGCTTATGCACAAAATATTATAATATAGAAGTAAATGTTTAGTAGGTTGATAAATATTTTCATATTATTTGTCTGAGAGTTATATTTATATCATATGTAATTGTTGTATATAATATAATTGTAATAAAAGTAATTAAACAGCAAGAAAAACTTTGAGAATGTAGTTAGACAACCAAGAGCAATAATATGTAACGATTCGAGGAACAGGAATTAAAAATATAAAAGTAGCGAGGGCACAAATTTTAAACTCATGAAATCAACAGAAAATGTCATTATAAGATTTTTATTTAATCTTATAAAAAACAAACAAAACTTTAAAATACGAGCTGCTTAAAATAATTAGGCTATCTGATTAACCCTCATATTTTATTTTAATGCTCAAATATGTCAAATGCAACCCAACCCTCGATTAATTATTGGGCTATTTTTGCCAATATTTGCATAAAGAATCTTAAGAAGCGGTCTGTATCGACGCTAATGCGGATCGTGATATATGACTGTCGCACCTCTGCCTTCTTTAATTAAGTTATTGCAACGTTTAAATAAAAACTTCGATTTTTGCGTAACCTTTATCAAACTTTAATTGGAATTTTGTAACCGAAGGCTATTTGCTTACTTTTCATTTAGACCTTTGAATATATTTAATTATTACATAATTTTATTATACATTTTATTAACTGAGTTCACTTTATTATTGAACTAAAACATATAATAAAATTTAAGTGCAGCTTACTATGTAACTTTACTGAAATAAGGACCCAAAATCGGTCTGAAATTTGCGATCATAAACGTACATACATTACTACAGACAGACAGACAGAGGAAAATTCTAATAATCATTATTTCGGGTTCTTATATGGTGAGAAAGTACCCCTAAGAATATTTTTCTCATACTTATATTTTCCATGGACAAGCTCCCAGTTATATATATATATATAAATAAAATTGGAGTGTCTATTTGTATTATTGAAATAACCGTTTTTTACTGCATGCATATGAATATAAATACGGTACACACATCAAAATATATATTTTTTTAAATATTTGTCTGTCTGTCTGTTTGTTCTGGCTAATCTCTGAAATGGACCCATTTTGAGGGGACTGTTTTTGTACTTTATTTTAGAAAAATAAAGTTAAATTCCACGCGGACGAAGTCGCAGGTGTAGCTAGTTTAAACATAGTTCTGCATAGTTTTGAACTCGACTGTGGTAAAACTAATTATTTCTTAATTTCTAGCTTTTATAACATAGTATTCATTCCTTGGTGCAATAAAAAATGTTTCGCGTACAATTGTTTGGTTGGCCGTAAATCAAAATTAAATTCGAGGTATAAAGAGACAACGAGACGAGGGACAGTGTAGGGTCGTGGGCGTCCGTGATGCGGCATTCTTATGCTAATCCGACGAACCACATACGAACGGGGTGGGCCAAATTGTTATTTATATTGTCACCTCGCGCTTTTTTCTTCCAATCTACCAAACCCCGCGCTAAATTACTGGTTGACTTCATTGTCACATTTGAAAACATTTTAAATAAAGAAATTTGTTCACTTATTTGTTGCTGGATCGAAAATCAGTTGGTTTCTTGTGGAAATATATTAATGAAACGAAGTATCTAATAAATATTGAGAGAATCTACTTTCAGAGAATTTTTATTATACCTAATGAAATAATTATTAATTATTATCTAAACATCCTTTAAAAAGGATATTTTCGTTGTTTTAAGCAATAATCTTACGTACCTAATGAACTCTGATTCTTTAAATGATCTAATCTTGAACTTGAAACATTTGGTGTTCTAATTCGATCCGTGGTACTGAAACCGTCACTCAGCCTGTCGTTCCATCGTCGTACTGTCTATTATGTAATATTATCTTATCTGTCTGTCTATTGATTGTTAACGCTTATTTGTTTGTGCCGTTTTTCACTTTATTCGCAATGTCTCTTTATTTTCGAAAAACAGTTAAACACTCGCACTTAATAAGTCTTACGAATATACCAAAAAGAAGCTGTGTGTACACTGTGTTATATTAAACAACACAATACATCTTGTGACATTGTTTCTGTATCACTGAACTTTTGGGTTACTATTGTAAAAATTGATTATAACCCTATTACTACTTGATGCCTGCCTCGATTTCGCCCGGATTCACATAATTTATTTTATGAATTGACATTATATAGACTGTATTAATCTGGTATAATGTCAAAAATTTTTGGTATTTACTTTCCTCGTAACTAAATTAGCTCTGTTTATAATATTAGTATAGATGGATTACAAACAAATATTACAGTCATTACATGCCACGAATATGGTTTCCTTATGAGCGATGTCCTCTATTGTTATGGAAATGTTTTCCATAGTGAATGATTGATGTTTCGACGGTGACTGGAACAGAAGCTTTTAGGGAAATCGTATTCGTTCAGTGAAGCAATTTCCTAACAGGAAATTAGTTCACTCCATTACGCCGATTTAGGTCCTGAATGGTTAAAGAGATTAAAATGACGCATCAAATTTTAATTTGAAGTTAGTTTTGACCTTATAATGTATATTGGATAATACAACATATCAGTTGCTAATTATCCTATTACTATTTTATTTTGACTAGCTTTTGTGCTATACTGATAAGCTTGGTCATTATTATCTTTTTCATGGTACTGACAGTTTTAGCCAGATGAGAACGTAATATTAAATGGAAAAAGTGGTGGCCAATAAGAAGTTTTAAGTAAATTTACATTGATATCTTTATAGGTAATATGCAAATCGAATGTGGAAATACAGAATGAACAGTATTTGTAATTTATATCTTATTTTATACCATACGCGGAAAAGCGCTTTTATATATTATTCAGTGTCTTGTACTATTTAAGTTATTGATAGAAAACGGTCTTGATATACATAAAAACAGCTTAGTCCCGCCGCAAGGTTACCTTTTTGACCTTAATGGAACCCTAATTATAAAAAAGTGTTATCATCTTTAAGAACGCTGTGTTAACCATGAAATGGCATGAGCAGTATTACCTGTCTCGTATGCACACAAAAAACTTTGACGCAGACAGTGTGAGGAGCGCGTCGCTGGTCCCTTAATCAATTTATGGGGCGCTAACTGGGACACGGAAAATGTATTAAGCTCGCTGTGGGAACCGTCACACGCCAGACCTTAAATACCACTCATAAGTTAACTTCAACATCAATTCATCCAAACAGAAGTGCTATGTATTAAAACCCACAAACACAAATAAATAATTTTTGTGTTGTGTTTTTTATTATCAATGCGTGTTACAAGAGAACTTTGTTTAGAAGTAGGATAATGTAGAATAATAATAGAATTATAAAAGGTGTATATTTCATATCAATCTATATATAATGTTGTAATATATATATTTCGAATATTATTGTAATAATAAATTAGACATATTACACAGTTTAACAAAATTAATATTTAAATAGGTGTAAAGGGAGGGGACGCCCTAAGAAAAGATGGACGGATTGTGTGAAAGATGATATGAATAAAAGAAGAGTATGTTCAGGTATGACGACCGATAGAGAGCAGTGGTAGAGAATGACATACTGTGCCGACCCCAAATAATGGGATAAAGGCAAGGCAATGATGAAATAGAAGTATCTATTACTTCCACAATAAGTATGTTTGCATAGTATGTGACCGATTTCACTATTGTAGATAAAAGTGAATTGTAACTGAGGTTCATATAGATACTATATAATCGCAAATAATCGAATATATTTAAAATAAGATTAATTTCTACAGCGTTACATATTTATGTAAAAATGGGTTACAAACTTACAAAAATATCCCTGAATGAAGACTTTCCTGAGGTTTTCCCCGTGGAATTTCCAATGACATGTATTTTATGAGTGTGTGTTATTTTCTATAGGCACCATATAAAAATAAAAGAAACAATTGTTGAAAGACAATAGTTATACCCACATTGATGCTTCACGGTGCGTCCCTAATTTACATTGGGAACAAAAACAATTATCTTACTTAATAAAACACACCTCAATCAAAATTAATTGCTTTACGCATTAATCTCTTTATCTATCCCCCTAGAAAACAACGTGTCTATTCTCTAAGGTAATGGAAGCAATCATTCCAGATAAGATCCCTCTAATGTGAGAAAAGGTAGACGTTCCGTCCAGATCGTTAATTTAATTTGAAATAATAAAAGTTATATTCATCATTTATCACTTTCGACAAATTTATTTTTAAATGCCCACTTCGGAATCCTTCTTATCTGTGGCTGGTCAACGGAGTGGGGGCAAAATAAATAAAAAGTTGTGTTATAAATAGGCGTAGGCGTGCCGCTGTCGATGAGGCGTCAAGCCGTCATTAATTCGAAATGGCGGTAATACGCATCGTGCGGACGGTGCGCC